TTGTCTTTTGTTTTTTACTGGCACGTACCCCCGCCCCTTCCTTTGGCCGTCGACCTGCCTCCATGTAGTGGGAGGCTACCCCCTCAGGCTGGTGGTGCGGCCGTTCCACTAGTCTAATTATTTATTTTATTTTATTATATTTGTTTCTGATTATATTTTGTTTTCTTGTATTTTATCGCTCTGCTGACCCTTGGGGTCCATTTTATTTTGGTATACCTTTTCTAGGTACGTTGTTAGCCTGTGACCACGGAAATTGGCCGAGTCAAGTGGTGGATTAGTACGGAGAGATTGAGACAGAAGGAGGTACTGGAAAGAGAGACCGGGGTGGTTTTTAATGTGAAGACAACAACAACAACAACAACATAGTTTGGTGATAAACTTATTTTTTGTCTGTGATGTATCCGCAGGGGCAAACAAGGAAGGTCCGCCGAGGCCAGGCGGCGTGGCAGCGAGGCAAGGGGTACTTAATTATAGTTTCGTGTGACAGCATGGACTGCGCGGAGATCCGAACCATGTCTCCACACCTCCGTAGATTGGGAGTCAACTATTGATCCACTCAGCCAAAAGGCATAGTTGTCGTGTGACCGAGCTTTGAGACACAACAACACCGGTCGGTGCAAGTTGCTGCGGAGGCGTGTGTTTGTTATGGTTCGCGAACACACCCAACGGTGATCGGGCGTGTGACAACAGACCACCACCAAAGCCGTGCGGACCATTCGGGTCGGTCGCGGGCGAGATGCGCTGCCACCTCGAGCACATCGGTGCACAGCACGCCAATCGAGGTAATAGCACACATCGACGGTACACCGACCTGACATCAACCGTAGTTACAAGATCGCCTCGGGTGACCGCGGAAGGAAGGCAAACGCGAGAACCGGGTTGGCCCAGGAACACACACGCGCGCGCGCGCGACCGTCATCGTTTTTCGCCTCGGCAACAATTAAATACACACCCGCCGCTGGGCTGGGCATCGGCGTCTGCACTGCACGTTGACACTACTGTGCCTCTATCTTCCTTCATAAAGGTGCGGCTGGATGGCGATGACTTCACACCCACACTCTCTCGACGGAGAAGTTCAGATACTATACAGGCGCTACAGCACTAGTCTACGCTGTAACATTCTCTGGTAGGAGTGTGTGCTGCAAACACGAGTCTACACCCCCGTTTCGATTCTGTTCTTCAAACTATAATATGCACCTCGTTCCGACTTCCAGCCACACCAGCAGCTGATGCGGACGCGTCGCCTTCCGCCGTGGAAATCACATGCAGTATATATTGGAAAGTCACAGCAATACACAGAGCAGCAGTGGTTGTTGTGGTGTCGAGCTGTGAACTCCTTGGCTGAGAGTCGCTTGGTGAGCGGGTGCTGTTCCAAAACTGAACGATTGGCTGCAGAGAGAAGTTGCCCCTTGCGAAACTCCACAACTGCAACGAAGCGCAGTCACATCCTCGCCGTTTCGCGCCACCGTACAGAATGAAGCTGGCTGGGAGCTACTGCTTCCTGTTGGCTCTGTGCGTCTTCCTTGCCGACCACCTCGCTTTCGCTCAACCTACTGGTGGCCGGGTACCATCAGCACCTCGCCATGGCTTGGCAAGGTTCGCCGAGGAGGAGGTCAAGGACACGGGCGTCGGATATGTACACGCGATCCCTGCCGACGAGCATCAGGTTGAAGAAGACCTGGTTCAGGTGCTTGAGACCGATGAATTGACCACTGGTGAGACAAGTCCTTGGGACAACCAGATAGTCTAGTGCTTACGAGTAAGGCTTACATGGCGACTGGAGAATTCACACGCAAGACAAACCGCGCGACGGGTATACCAGATGTACATTGATTTATGATGAAGTCTAGGTACTAGAAGAGTTGTTCGAAACTCGAAAAAATGCATGAAACCAGTGGAAGATCCCGAAAAGTGGACGAATCGAGTTTTGTATCGGAGGCGACTTTTTGGCAAAAATGCATGAGTCGTGAGCAAAAATATCAGACTACGTGACACAAACAGAGAAAGACTACCCATTCGAGATAAGGCCACAATCGAACGGGATGTGTTGAAGCACAGTGAATGGAGGGAAACCGGCTGGGCTTATTTGGAGGCTACCTGGTCTAAGCCAATACCCTGAAAAATTTCGATCGCTGATGCCAGCAGGTGCCAAAAGTAATCACGATGTTGTTTTGGGCTCCAGAGCTCCAAGTAATAGTTGTGTTCCGAAACGCACAGACTGCTGCATCTCCCTTCCTCCGTCTCTTCTCTCCTCGCTATTGCAACAAACATCACCGCCGTCACAACAGCAAAGACACACCACACAGTCATGACAACGCCACCACAATCGCCAGCCCCCAACCAAGCTTTCGGGCACGATTTTTTGTTGTGCTGCATGCGTATCAACGCGTACGTGATGTTGCTGCATGCTGCTCCACTCTTTCTCCCTCTGCCTTCCTGTCTCGTCGTGCTCCTTTTTCTTTTTCGCTTTCTCTCGTGCCGCCATCGCACGCAAGCACAGACGAACTAACGAACAGACACAGTTCCACAAGGCTCGCCGCGTAGCTTTTGGGCTGCCCCGTTATTTTTGTATGGGGAGGGCGGTCCTTCCTAGTCGCCACGGCGGGGAGGCTGGAGATTGTCGTTGCCGTTGATGCACAGGGTGTGTGTGCGTATAGCATATAATATGCCTGTCGGCCTGTTTTCTGTAACCTCTCTCTTGTTTTCTCTCTGGCACAAAAAAACGCGAAGGAGGACCAACGGTTTGTTATCTTCAACGTGCCCAAGTACCAACATTCAGAGTGTCAGCTAGCGTAGGTGGGGGCGCTCTTGGCAGAGGCGAACGCGCCTTGTCCGCTGTCCGTTCACTGCGTAAGGGTGTGCATAGTCTATGGGTATCATCTTAAAAGGCACTCTGATTTCGCTTTCTGCTTATTTCCGGTTGATCAAATTTGGCTGCACCACAACGGCAGCCCACCTGCCCAACACCAGCTGTCCGAGGATGTATTGGCGCAGGCTAAGAGTCTTGGGCTTTTCTTCTGTTGTTGTTGTTGACTTCACATTAAACCGTATGCCAGTTGCTAAATGCCAAAATCTAGCAAAGACTCTCAGCCCGTGGTCACGAAAGTGCTAGAGCCATCTGAGGATCTAAAGAACACGCACACGTAGCAAGAAAAAGGTATCCAAGAGCCCGAAGAGGTACTACTACACCTATATATAATCCCTGCAGCACCGTACGCGTGCCCAAAACTGAACTACACGTCCGTCTCACCGTTCGACTACAGCAACATCACCCCCTACCTGTCCCACTCTGTACCAAAACGAATGATTGCCGACTACAGCATACTTGCTGTCTGAAGTGCTGTCTGTACAAAAACACCATGGTAGGCATGGAACAAGAAGCTGGCGGGGCACAAAGCTGCTGTCTGAAGTGCTGTCAGAATGTGTCTGCGGCCGTACAGTGAAAAAGAACAACCAACCAAAGCCATGATTGCAATGGACAATCACCCGAACCTCTCCCGATCGTCTGTGTTAGGCACGCAGTGAAAATATCGACAATAGCTAAGAATCGTTCCACATTGAAGGGGTCTTCCACGATCAGGCACATAACCAAGGCACCCGGGTTAGCCACGCCATCTCTGACGGGTCTCTCTACAAAACCAGTGACGACGTCATCACATAGAACCAACACCGAAAATCAGGAAAAAAACGAGAAAAATTGAAAACACAGATCAGACACAAATGTTTGTCTGTGCGCCACGGGTCGATGTCGCCCGCATGCTCCGGTGCCGCTGCTCCGTCCGGCGCCGCTGTAGTCAGCCCGAGCATAACGCCACTCGACCTGCTCCGTCCGTACACGCTCTCGTTGCTGTCCTTCCCAGTCGGTTCCTCGCTTTCTCCCTCGTTGCACTCAAGGTTCTTGGTCTGAAAAATAAAAATTCTCGCGCCGAAGGGGTCAACCAGCCCAGTTCAGCTCGTCGCCACCTGCTCCCTCCTCCTTTGATGGCGAAGCCAGGTTACTGAGGCAATGCAGCGCCCTCTAGCCAACCTAGGGCCGTGTACATAGTTCCCGTCCACCTTCTGACGGTGTCTGCCTCCGCGCACAAAAAATGAGATGGGCATCGCTGCCTACGCCGACGGCCAGAGGCCCGCGCATCTACATTTTTTCGCCTGACCCCATCAGTGCCGACCCAACTACACCACCACGCGCATGCCTCGCGGCGGATATGCGCAGCAGCAAGAAGGTTTCGGTCATCCCTTGAGGGTGAGTCTAGCCCTGCTCGCCAGAAAGACCCCCCCCTTCACTACAACCCATGTCTAAGCAAAAGCTTGTCGAGGAGCGAGGGGAAGAAGGGAGAAGACTTTGAAGATCTATTCTCGATTGCATTATCATCAGAGTTTTTCACCAAAAATATACAAAGCATCGAAAGGCCCAAAAAAGTCCCGCCGGTCCTTTAATCGAGTTTTTTATACATTGTTGTTGTTGTTCTTGTTGTCTTCGCATTAAAAACCGTTCCGATCTCTCGCTACCCAGTACCTTCGTATGTCCGTACTGATACAACACTCGACGCGGTCGATTCCCGTGGTCGCAGGCTAACTTACCCTAAAAAGGTACACTCAAATAAAATGGCCCCGAGGGGTCCGCAAGTCAATAGAAATCAACGACAGATATTCTGGATTCCTCCACTCCCTCTGCGCGCTATGCGAGGTAACAACTGAGACTAGGGGTCACCATCACGGGCCGGAGAGAATGAGGTACACCCCCTTGGTTCAATCTTGGTACTTCACAATACAAGCATAAAGAAGGCCATCTGGCACAGAAAAAGAGAGCAAAAGAGAAAAAGAGAAAAAGAGAAGAGAATAAATGAAAACAGTAAGGAACGAGAAAATGAACTGAAAAAGAGCGAGGACAGAAAGGGACCAGGCCGAAAATAACAAGAAATAAGAGACAGAAAAAGGCACACGGTGGAGAGACCACTAACGACAAGCAAACACGCAAACATG